AGGAGAAATAAGACAACATTTAGAAGATATTATAAAAATATTCATACAACAAATTCAAATGAAAATAATATTAATCATATTATACATATACTAGACAGGTTCACTCGTATTAGTAACAAAAATTCATATATGTACACCAACATTATTTAAAAGAAGACATTGTGATGTAACCCTTTTTGTAGGCATTTTACTGTCTTCACGGTGTCATTTTATTTTGAGTCCCACAATAAGTGTAAACTTTTGGGCCACAATCCCAATTTTCATTCAAGTGGGTTGCATTTCTTTCTCTTTTGCTTTTGTTTTCTTTAACTTCATTTTATCTTGAAAACTATAGTTCCTATTTACTTCAAGAAAATTTGATAAATCATAAGTTTTTTTTTGAAAAGTTAATGGACATGTGTGCAGAGGACAATTGGTTGAATAAAGTTATAATAACAAGATTAGAAAAGTTGTTTAAATATTGAACTACATTTATACATGCAATCTTGATAGCTAGGTTAAATAAAATGGACTTAGATCAAACAGTGATAGATATTTTTAATTGCTTACGATCACCGTATAAATTAAAATATTTTCTTTCCCTTTACTATTTTTTAAATTGATTGTATGATATGTCTTATTTTATTAAAAATTATATTATCGTTTAAAGTTGTCCTTCAGTTGGTAAATTTTAAAATTTATAGGACTAGTATTAATTAATCTGATTTTTCAATTGAAGCACATATAAAATATCTTTTGAGTTAAAAATTTATAGCCAGGTGGAGGTGACTGTAATTTTTAGCAGCACGCATTGAACTTTGGTGAAAATTATTCTTTTTTTTTTTAGGGTCAAACATCAAATTGAATTATTACAGACGTAGACAACCTTTACTAGCTTAGACTAGAAAGGAAACCAAACGGAGAAAAACACAACAAGTGTTCCCCTACACGACCCTTCACGGCCAGAAAAGACTAAACTCACAAAACACTCCACAAAGGAAGACGACAAAAAACACACTCTGAAAGGGAGAGAAAAGACCGAAAACACACAAAAACACAAACAAAAAAACACAAAACATATACTAAACCCCTCTCCACACCGGCCAAACCTCGCCTAGCAACCTTAAGCAAGCCAACACCCAAATGACTACCCAATCAAGACCAAATCTTGGCCCAAAATCCTAGAAACTCTGCAACCGGCTATCAAGACCCGAACCTAAGACGAAACCCTACCCATGAGGTCACCTCAGACTAACACCAGTAAAGTCGCGCCCAAACTCCCAAATCAGCCGACGACAACTTGCTGCCGCCACCGTCGCTGGTTGCAGCCACTGTTAGCCCAACACCACAACCGAAACAGGGGCAGAGAGGCAGAGCAGCAAGTTGCGAGCTTCGACCGCCAGATGGTCAAGCGTCCACCGCCGCCCGACGAGCATCACAAACGCATCTGCCATGATCTAAGGGAAAGAAGGGGGAACCCACGCGAGGAAAAGAGCGGCGACCAACGCCAGTACCGCCATGAGAATTGCCTCCCGCCGGATGAAGGGGACGTGCCGCTGTGGAGAGGTGTGCCGGAATTTAGGGATTACCGTTTCTAGAATTGTTGTCGAATGTAGATGTGCTTCCTTCAAACTTCAGTTTTTTTTTCTTTTATTATTATTATTATTTGTATATTGATAGAGTAAATATTTTTCCTTTTGGTGAAAATTATTCTCATTATAATAAATTTTAAAAGTTATTGGATTACTATTGATGAATTGTGTTTTTTTTTTCATTTTTTTTTTCTAATAAATGAGAATCAATTGTGTTTTACTTCCCCTTTTCGGTGAATCGAACCCATGACCTGTCGGTCATAGGTGAAGCGTTTTGCCACCAAGCTGCTTTTCGTTGTCCTATTGATAATTTGTGTTTCCTTTGGATTACTTTTGATATCACCTATAAATAAATATGACACTTTTTTAAGTTCTCCCAAATTGTCATTTGAATTGATTTTTTTGTTTAAAAAGCCAACGATGAATTTAAAAATGTTATATTCATTAAATATTCATTAAATTTTCTTCTATTTTTTTTCTAATACTTGTTTTTGGGGTTTGAATATGAGTATATTTGAATATATATTGTAAAACATTGCTAGAAGCTAGACCACTATTTATTGGTCAGCCTTTTGAAATAATTCACATCAATATATACAGTATGATGTCCCTGATCTCAATAATGCAAAGAAGCAATATTATCCAGCAACAGATATATTGAAGTCCCACAATAATGTAGTAACCATTTTCATACAATTTTACATATGTAATGGATGGGTCAAGCTACTTTTTTTTCATCTGAAAAATATTTTTATAACTTAAATACATTGAAGGCCACTCATTGAGAAAATCATTGAACCAACAAAAAAATAAAAACAAAAATAAAATTAAATATATATTTTTCCCCTGCAATTCATATATACTGATTTGGGCCTTCCACAAAAGATATAAGACCCTAAGAAAAACTTACTCTCCAAACGAGGCTATTCGGTTTTATTACATATATACGACATATATATCTCAACGTCGTCGCAGGTCTGCTCGGGTTCTTCTTCGTGAAGTCATGGACCGATAACTGTTGAAATTGGGACTCTCGGTTCATTCTTTCACCCGACAAAAGATGATTGTCATCCAGACATATGTTTGTGGATTGTTACGGTCTTGCCTTCAGTGGCAGATAACATAAACTAGAAGGGCCTCACTTGCTCATGCGATCAAGCTATCGGCTTCACAAACTGGAAGGATGGGCGTGGACGTCGCTCTTACCTTCGACGCTTCTGCGCGTTTGTTCTGTAGTTCGAAAGCGAAGACGAACTTAATTGATGTTTATTGTTGGTTTGATTATGATATAATGACTTTTTTCTTAGTTTTTGTTTTGTTGTAGTTTACATTCTGTTTATCGAGTTGATAAAAGGTTGAACTCGTACTAGTAGACTCTTTTTAATTTTTTTTTTTTCGTCGGTTCGTCTTAGTTAATCGACTCGATAAAAAAGGTTGGGTCGTGGCTCGAATNTATTTGTAATATTTTAGCTTATAGTTTATAGCTTATAGCTAATGACTTATAGCTGAAAAGTTAGCTTATATGATAAAAGTGTTTGGTAAAATTAGCTGATAAGCTAGCTGAAATAAAAAATTCAACTAGCTTATTTGAAAAGCTACCTGAAGTAGCTTATGAGATAAGTTCGGGCTTTTTAAAAAAGCTCGGCCTACCAAACAAGGCTTATTTGAATACAATGAGCTTATAAGTTAACCAAATAAGCTATAAGCTAGCTTATTTGGCTTACTAAACACAGCCTATATCATCCAATCACAATCTCACAGTATTAAAACTCAAAATACCTTAGGGCATGCTTGTTTATGAAATATTTTGCTCAAAATGAAATATTTTGATTAACTATAGTTACATTTAAAAAAAGTGGTATGGTTAGTTGTTAGTGGATTTTAATAATGTATTATAATAATATTTAAAATAAAATGATTATTATTGATTTGATGTGAAAGTAAGAGATAAATGATTGTAAATAATTGGTAGTTAAAATTATGTGAGTGAATGAATAGTAAATTAAAGTTGATGTGATATGTAAAAATGATTGGTTTATATTATTTAATTATATAAATAATATTAAAGATAGTGGAGTTGAATTAAAGTTGAGTTAGATTTTGAATAGAAATAGCAAAATATTTTATAAACAAGCATGCCCTTATTTTTTTCCCCCAAATCTGACAAAACCTAGCTGCAGATCCATTTCATTTGCGACTCGATTTTCAGAAAATGTTGAGGCACGCAGCGAACAGGATTCTGGGCAGTGGGCTGCGATCCACTGCGGCGCCGGCGCAGGCGCAGGCGCTGAGGATGTACCACGAGAGGGTGGTGGATCACTACGACAACCCGAGGAACGTCGGGTCGTTCGACAAGGACGATCCGAACGTCGGTACGGGCCTCGTCGGAGCTCCGGCCTGCGGCGACGTCATGAAGCTGCAGATTAGGGTCGACGAGGAGACTGGTAAGATCGTAGATGCTTGTTTCAAGACCTTCGGCTGCGGTTCTGCCATCGCCTCCTCCTCCGTTGGTATGTTGTTGCTGTGAGAGATGAAGTTAGTAATTGTGTTGTCCGTCGTTAATATATTGTTGTGGATTGTCTGAAAATATTTTGGGATTTGTCTGAGTTCGGGGTTGATTTGGTGTTTTGTGGAGATGGGTTAGCTGGAAATGTGACTTGTTCAAGGGTTTAGTGTTGGAGTTTAGTGATTTATTTGTCCCTTGACTGATGTTTTGCTGATTTTTTATGCATGTGGGGAGCTAGTTTTATTCGATTGAAGTGGATTATAATTGATTGAGTTGTTTCAGATTAATTTAGAATTGAAGTCACTTCTATGTGTAGGTTTATATGGTTTGGAAATGTTAGGAGTGTGAATGGTCTATAGCTGGTGCCTTGGTCTTCGATTGATGGTGGAAACTAATGCTTTGAATGGCCTTGATGCAGTTTTATACCAAATGGGCTTTTGGATTTTCGATGAGGATACTAAGTTTCTTTTGATTATTGTTCTTGCGATGTGGCTGTGTGGGTTGTGTGTGGTTTTACTAAGACAATGTTTTATTCGTTTGCAGCAACCGAATGGGTTAAAGGTAAACAAATGGAGGAAGTCCTGTCAATCAAGAATACGTAAGTCACGTTCATATTCTTATTTCATATGATCTACTAGCCGTTATATTTTTATAATGAAATAGAAAATCTACTCGTCGGTCGTTATGGTCTTCACTTATGCTTTCTTCACCTGTGAACCCATGATCATATTATTTATACTTCTGTTTCAACGCCACCACATTTCCTCATAATTAGTTATATATTTATTTATTTATTTCTCTTTCATGCGGAAATTGAGCTGAACTTATATGATTTTGTAAGGAGGTGCCTTCCCATAATTTGTAAATGTTCTTAGGAAATCTGATTTGTTTATGTTAATTGTGGTATTCTGTTTGCGATATTCTACATATGTGATTAAAAATACAGTGCCTTCCAAAGTAGATAATTGTTGAGTAATGGGGCTCAATCTTTTATATGACACATGCTTAACGTCGTATTTACACATTATTCTCTGTAAAGGGTTAACTGAAATTAAAAATTCGCTTACTGAATTATTTTAAACCTGTTTTTCCTGGCTGTCATTTCGGCAACTTCTGCCATAGGTTTTTGATGGCTTTCTGTTGTGGTTATGGATACCAATTTTTTGCAGGGAAATTGCCAAACATCTCTCTCTTCCACCCGTGAAACTTCATTGCAGCATGCTTGCTGAGGATGCAATAAAAGCGGCTGTCAAAGATTATGAGAAGAAGCGTTCAAAGTCAGATGCTGGACTGCCTCTGAAGAAAGCTGAGAGTGCTTAAGGACTAAATCATGTAGAATAGTGGTTTATTATACTTGGAAAAAGTATGTATGTAATCACCCTTGATGTGCCGATCCATGCCTGGTCTGGTGTCATGTGCTTTAAGTTTTTTTTACTACTTCTGAATGTATAGGCGGGTTTTTGGACCTTTTTTTGGTTGCTGGAGGAAACCAGAAGGATTATTCATCCTAGTTGCCTTTTGAATGAATTTGGACTATTTGGTTGATTGCCTGTGGTTCTTTTTTTGTTGATGGTATATTTCCAGTAAGGATATGGTTAGGCAGGCTTAGACATTCTTATATTTTCGACATATTTACATACTTTCAAACTGAGTTATTGCTGTGAGCGATGAAGTCAGTAATTGTGTTGTCCATCGTTAATATATTGTTGTGGATTGTCTGAAAATCTTTTGGGATTTTTCTGAGTTCTGGATTGATTTGGTGTTTTGTGGAGATGGGTTAGCTGTAAATGTGATTTGTTCAAGGGTATAGTGTTGGAGTTTGGTGATTTATTTGTCACTTGACTGATGGTTTGCTGATTATTTATGCATGTGGGGAGCTAGTTTTATTCAATTTATTTGTCCCGTTAGATTGTCTTATACAAGAATTTGTGTTATAGAGATTATCATACCTTTTNAAGGTCTCTTGGACTTGGTGCCTTGTGTATTTAGTGTTAATGGTTACACACAAATATTTGCCTTGCTCTTTATAAATTGTTAACGATTTTCTCCTTCGGAAGTTGTAAAGACAATTATGATTGAAAAGTAGGACGGGTCGATCTGCTTATTGGTTAAGTTGGCCTACACGTATTTATGATTTTGAATATTGTTTTAGAAATCTTGTTAAAGAAATGATTTTTTAAACCCCTTTACTTCTGTACATTTGTGTTGAATGGTTAAACAAGAATATCAATGTTGTTAGATTATCTCGAATTAACGTGATTAGGCTGTTTAATGGTTAGTTTATTATACATTTTCCACAAAAATTTTCATTTGTGTTATGTAATGTTAGCCATGCTTTTACTAATGTTGTTAGAATACAACACTTCAATATTATAGTATGTCAGTCGTTATGTTTGTTTAAAATTTTAAATGTTATTAGATGTATTAACAAGTCAAGCTCGAACTACTAATACTTGTGTCTGGCTTCGAGCCATTGTCTAGCTAAGTTGACAGTCGACTTATTTAATGGTTAAACTGTATGATATCTCATGACAGTCCAATCCATTTAATGGTTAAACTGTATGATATCTCATGACAGGCCAATCCATTTAATGGTTAAACTGTCTGACACAAGAATTTGTGTTTTTACAATTAACCTCAAGATTTAATATTTTCCAGACAGAAATAATTTTCTTTTTTGTTTTGCAACAAACGACTTAATATGCAGCTTGCAATGGTGAAGAACCAGCGGTTAGCGGCAAAGCTAATCAACGGAAACATTTATGGTTGTGTCTGCCGATTTGAACCGGCTGGGTGAAATTACAATATTACCTCCCAACATGGTAATCACTAATCAGCAAGTTTGTGTAAATGCTAAGTCACCAGCTATGAAGAAAGGACTAATTTGAGGTCAATATAAGGGAATGCCCAGCTCAATGTACATGTGATCTTTTCTTTAGTTGGACATATGTTCGAATGTATATTATATTAATATCTTAACCTTACAAGGAATAATTAACTTAAATGCAAAATTGGTTAATCAATCTATGTAAGATTAGAATTTAGAATCATGTTTGTTTCTGGAAATTAGAATACCATTTTAAAAATGGGTTCATCCTAAATTATAAGAATTGAAGTGAAAAGTTGCATACTTAAACAAAAACTATTTTTTTGTTACATTTTTTATGTATCTATTAGAAATAAGTGTTTTTTTTTATTATTATTAAAATTGACATTTGTTTTCTTAATTTGTTGAGTTTTCCCAATAATTTTGAAAAAAGGAAAACTATGGGTGTAAATGAACTCAATTTTTTTAACTATATAATAAAAAAAAAAAATGCTATTTACTTATCTCTTTTTTCCGAAATGAAAAATTACATTCGAAAATTAAAGCGTCAAATTGTGCTACGTGTTTGTATTTTATTATTGTGTTTTCTTGTTATCCATTTTATTTAATTATAAATAAAATCCTAATTCTGTAATCTATTATTATATAAAAAGAATAACCTTTTTATAAATTTAGAAACTTTTTCCCGCCAAAATCATTAAATATATCTTACATATAGTAATTGTTGGATAAATCTGAATAGACAAAAAAATCGGCTCATTATTTATGTAAAGATTCATTTCTCCTGTTTTTTAGTTTATCAAAATCGTTGTTTGAAAATAAATATTTGTTTTTATTTTTTCTATTTTAAGTATAAATCTACACGAGCTTATCTCTTTGTTACAAAATCTCATTGCATGCGTCTCACGTGTTTAAAAAATCTCATCCCTTATCTATACAGACTAGTACAGAGCCCGTGCGTTGCACGAGTTTCACAATTTTAAGGCTATTTATCCAGACTTATAATTATATACATGAATAAAGAAAAATGTACGGGATATATATAGTACGTGCGAAGCACGAGATATATTTATTTGGAGAATATTATATTATAAGATGCAATATTCAATAAAAGTTTATAATACGCAAGAAATTGTACAATGTTCAATAAAAGTTTTATTATATTCAAGTGGAGTCTTAAAGTCTCTTGTACATTAAGACTACTGACAAAATAATATTTTAATCAATGAGTTTCCTTTCCTTGTAGCCAAATTGTGAATGTGATTTGAGGAGTACAACAAATCGATGTATAGCTGACTTGCTTTTTTCATTGTAGTTTTTTTTTTCTTTTTTTTTATAATGAATTTAAAGATATTCTAAAATATAGCAAAAATTAATTTTTTTATTACAATTAGGAATTTTACTAAATATAAACTCTCAATCTATGGTGTTAATCAACGTTTAAGTCTAAAAAATTAGGAATTTTTACCTCTTTTAATCAACGTTTAAGTCTAAAAAACAATAGAGTTATTATAATTTTTTTTTCTACATCTTTTAAAACATTAAATATGAGCATGTTAGGGCTAGCTTGTAAAATAATTAATATATTATCTCACTAAAATATTTATACTAATAAAAATTTAATTTTAGCATATAAATTTATCCCTTGATATAAGAGAAAGTAAAAGTTTTACTTATTGTTGTTCACCATATAATATTTAATTATTATTTTACTATATAATAAAAAAGGAATATTCTTAAATAGTTTAGTCGAATTGTTATAAAATTATATGAATTTGTTTTTTCACAATATGGATTTAATATTTTTTTTTATGATTTGATAATATAAACAAATCTATACTTAACTTTGACAAATAAAATAAATAAATACTTTAGTAAGTATTTAATGTATATACTAAATAGGAATATATTTGGTATAATCAAATACCAAATATAATTAAATAAGTCAAAGCGTACATTTTTATTTGGTATTTGATTTTTTATTATTAAAATCTTTTTATTATACTTACCTTTTTAGGATAAAACAAATAAATAAATTAATTAAATAAATAAAATATTATAATACCAAAATAGTAATGACATTTAATGCAGTTGACTTTTCTGGATAGTAAATGTAATAAATAGAATATCCTTTTATATAATATAATACGGAAATAGTAATGCAATAAATGCTGTTGACTTTTCTGGCTACTTAATTTGGTAAATAGTACTCCCTTTAATATAAGTATAGATTTGAAAAATTAAAATATAATAGAACCCAGTTCATAATTACTACTAGAAATTCATTATCTTTAAAAAGAAAAAATAAAATAAAATAAAAACCAATTTATTATTACTACTAGAAATCCATTATCTACTTTAAGAAGGTAATTTTCATCAGTCTAATTACTAATATTTTTACAAATATTATAAGTTAACCATAAATAAAATATAATAATAATTTTAAGATGGTGTGTAATCAAATTTTTTCATATTCTCTTATACAAAATAATTTTACATTGTTTGACCTCAAACCTTTAATTTATAATTATTAAGTATTGTTTATCCTCATTTTTAATTTATAATTATTATTTTTTTTTCTCTTTTTAAAGAGGAGCAATAATAGTTTTCACTTCTACCGAGTAACTCAAACTCAAGATTTATTTATAATATTGTTAATTTAATATTATTTCCGTGCACTCTACCTACTAGTTTTATTTTTATAATGCATACTATTTGTGCTTCGTGTCTTGAAATCTCCATTGCCACCTTCACCCCCAACCCCAACTCCACAAAGAGAGAGAAGGAATCATTATACTTCCTCCTGTTCAGTTTCTTGAAAAATGTAGCCCTCACTTTTCAGTTTTCACTTTTCACCACCTTCACTTAAACTGCTCTTATTTATTACAACACAAAAACCATAAAATCTCCTTCAATTCTCTGTTTCTAAATGGATCCCCACATAAGTGCCTCACGCAGCTAACGTTGTTAGACAATTGGAGATAATAAGGTTTGCAGAATTCTTTATTTTTCAATTTTCATTGTTATGATGCAAGTTTTCATTTTCACTTTTGTTTTCCCAGTTGTGTTTTTCTTAGTATTTTTCTGCCCCTTGTGTTCTATGTCACAGCTGCTTCTTTCTTGTCTGACATGTTATTTTCTTCTTTTATAACAGCTTTGGTTGATTTTTATGGGAAAAAGGTGTAATCTTTGTGGCACATTGTTGATGCTAAGCTAATAGCTCTCATTCTGGGGATATCTAATGGGTACCAGGATGATGTCAGGAACCCTAGAACAGGGTTTTGTGGGTTTTAAACCTAGCCAGACTGAAAAGCCTTGTAAGAAAATCCCTGAAGAAAAGGATTCTGTGTTTGTGCGTAATCATAGTAATAAATGTTCGACAAACGATGTTAATAACACTCGCCCGGATGTAAATGTAAATGTAAATGATGTTAAATTAGCTTGGATATTCGGTAAAAGGAGCACAAGAGAATCTACAGTTAGTGATGGTGTTGATGGACATAATGAGCTCAATAAAGGTTGTGGCTCGGTTAATTTTACCGATCATAAGACGTCAGTTTTAGGGATTTTCGATGAAAGAATCAATAAAGACGTGCCAAATGTGGGTTTTGAAGTTGATAAGTTTGAGGGATGTGTCATAAAAAGCGATGATGTGTCTCTTTGTCCCGAGCCCAGTTCGCCCACGGATATAGAATTTTCCGGAGAAGATATTAGCTTGTTCGTGGAAGTTTTCGGCCCATTGGATGTGAAGGAGGAAGTTAAAAAAGATGGTTTGCTCGAAAAAAATGGAAAAAACACTGATAAAAATTTGATTTTCAAGAATGAAAGGGAAAACTTTGATGTGGGGGACTTGGTTTGGGCTAAAACCCAAACCCCACTTTGGTGGCCCGGGATAATATCCGATCCTTCGAGTAACGAAGCAAAATCCGGTAAAAGAAGTGCCTTCCTCGTCAAATACTTTGGGCATGCAAATCCCATCTGGTGCAGCAATTCGGACTTGAAGCCATTTATCGAGTATTACGAACAGCTGTCCAGGCAGAACACTTCTAGAAGCTTCCGTGGCTCGGTCGAGAAGGCTTTGTCTGTGTTCGGTCAACGTGTGAAGTCAAAGATGACGTGCCCTTGCTTTTCTAAAGAAAATACTTTTACACTGGCGGATACAAAAGGTAAAAAAATCGACGATGATTTTCTATCCTTGTCCTGTTTTGATCCTGTGTCGTTTTTGAAGTGTGTCCGAAAATTCGCCAGCTCGTGTTGTTCGCCTGGTAAAATCGAGTTGACGGTGGTGAAAAATCGGCTCTCGTCGTTTTACCTTTCATCCGGCCATAGTGAGCTGCTTACGGATGAAGTCAAAGTTGAAGGCTGTAACTATAATTACGGAGGCCGTGAAAAATCGTCCAGGGTTAGGAAGAAGAGAATCCCGAGCGATTATGATGACCTTGCTTCTGCGGATAAAGTTTTATCTTCTTCTTCTTCCAAATATCATAGGGAAAGGAAAAAGAGCAAGTTTTTATCCTCTCCTTTTGTGAAAGTGCATCATGTTGTCAGTATAGCAGACGACATTAATGCTCCTTCATCCGAACTGCTAGCCGAACTCCGCTCGACTGTTTGTGATCCGCTTTATCTCAAAGGAAGCAAATATTCTGATTCGTTCGAGAAGTTTTACTGTAGTTTTCGCTCGTATGCATTTCTGAATGCTGATATTATAGCTGATAAGGAGGAGGCTCGAGTCAATCAAGAAACGAAACGCGAGAAAACCCGCAAGGAAACTAAAGGGCAGAAGAAGAAAGGAACTAAGTCGGTGAAGAAAAAAGAAGAATCAGATAATTCACGTTTGAATCTCGATTCCATCAGCAAATTACCCAACATTGCTGAATCTTTTCTAGGTCAAGTGGGGCCCAAAGCTGGTGTAAATAAGGTGACATGTCAGCAGCCCTTGCAACAGCCGGCCGAGATTGAGAAAATTTCCCCACAAATGGAGCTCGGAAATGGAAAGGGCATTATTAATAAAATGTCCGATTTTTTCGATTGGGTCCCACAAACCGAGCCCCCTGAAATCATCGTCAACGACAGCTCAACGTCCGATGGAACACATCAGCAGCAAAAACGGGCCCGAAAGGAAGATCCAGGTGGCAGTCTCGTCTTGAAATTTGCGCTGGGGGGTTCTGATTTGCCGTCTGTAGAAACGCTGGTCAGAAAATTCTCGAGATACGGGCTCGTGAAGGTGACCGAGATTCGGGCCCTGAACTCGACCACCGTCGAAATCCCGTATGAGAGGACTTCTGATCTGTGTTTTGCCCACCGGAGTTTGGAGAGTGACCGGCCTTTCGGGCCGGATCTTGTGGGCTTCGATCTCAACTGCCCGCATGTGAAGGTGGAGAAAAATTCACAAAAAAGCCCTGTTCTCACAATTGGGCCTCTTCACAGGCCCGCTCCTCTGGATATCGGGTTCATGAAGCAGAATGTTGAAATGATGAAGGCTACTTTGGAGAAAATGGGGGATAAAATCCCGAGGGATGCAAAAGCCAAGCTGGAGAATGAGATTCGAGCTTTTCTTGGTAAGATTGGGAACATAACCGGAGGCTCGTCATCCTCTTGAGGTCCCGAGCCTTGCCATCTCTAGTCCTTTTGTGTGGTTTTATTTTTTGCCCTTTTGAACTTGTCTTTTGCTGTCTGAATGTTGTTAATACTGTCTGAAAAGTCATTTTGTTCGTGGTGTTGAATAATAATTGCATCGAGATGGCTTTTGGCTAGGAAGATCTGATCTGACTTTAAGTTCTCTTTTTGGACTAGAAATACAAGGAAATATTAGTTATGTGTAAGGTAAGGTTTGGTTTTGCTTCATTTGGGATACATCTGAAATTGAGTTAATCATCTATTATGTATCTGAATTTAAGTTTTGTGTTTATCAAGTTTGGGGTAGAGTTTTCTGGGTTTAATGTATTTATTTGATATGGTGTGATCTTAAAAATCACTTTGCTTGTGTTGATTTTCTGTTTCCAGTTTTATGTGGCATCTAATGTTTTCATCATCTGAATGACGTTACTTAGCTATTAAGCTGCTATATTGGTGGATTTTAAGTTACAATTGTATCTTAATCTAGGTATGTTGAAGGTTTAGTAAGGTTGATGTTAGGTAGAGCCGATATGTAATAATATGTTTTTTTAATAAATGTAAATATTTTCATTTTAAAATAGTATATTTAAAAAAAAAAAATTGTGAAATAGCACAAGATGATTATTTGTGTAAAGAAGTATGATGAATTCTCCCGTTTAACTAGCTTTGCGATTGAATCCAACGAGAGCTTGAGTATTTTTAGTTGTGTTCGATTATGTTTGAATATTGTTTTTTGTTGTGTTCGATTATGTTTCAATATTGTTCATGTTAGGTTGTTTATTGTTTGATTGAAAATTCATATTCGAGCTGGTCCATTTAATTGTTAGTTAAAGTTCGATCCCGAAAAATTTGGTAAACTATTTTATTGAAATTGTTTAATTAACTCAATATCAGTTCGATCCCGAAAAAGTTTAATAGTAATAGGATTTAATTAATATTCGTAAACAATAATGAACGTTCACGAACGAACTTGTGTTTGTCCCATTATCAAACAAGCCATTCGAGTTTACTCGATCAACAAAGAAATGAGCTTTAGTCGAATACAAAAGCTATTTTTTTTCAAAAATTCGGTTTCCTAACAATTCTGCGTTTAACTTACATGACCCAATTCACATTAGCATAATAGCATTAGTATTAAAGATTTCATTTTCTTGGATAACGGTTTGTTTGTAACTTGAGTTCCTTTAACAAAGAACACTTCTTTTATAAGGTCTTACACTTTTACACTTCCCTAAGCACTAAAAAATCATTT